GGCCTGAAAAGATGGAAAGAGGAGGAGGAGGATGAGGCGGAGGAGGAGGAGGAGGAGCAGAAGGAGGAGGAGCAGAAGGAGGAGGAGAAGGAGCAGGAGGAGGAAGAGGAGGAAGAGGCGGCGATGGAGGAGGAGGAGGAGGAGGAGGAGGAGGTGGAGGAGGAGGACGAGGAGGAGGAGGAGGAGGAGAAGGGGTAAGAACAGGAGGAGAGGAGGGGGTGTGGGAGGAGGAGGACGAGGAGGAGGACGAGGACGAGGAAGGAGGAGAGGAGGAGGAGAAGGAGGAGGAGGAGGAGGAGGAGGAGGAGGAGGAGGAGAGGAGGAGGAGGAAGGAGGAGAGGAGGAGAGGGTCAGATGGGATACCTCTGCCCCTCTGTCTCCCTCGTCGTAGAGTGGCGCGGTAATGATTTGGGATTCTCTTGAGGACGCTCTGCCTCTTCCTCCTCCTCCTCCTCTCCTCCTCCCCGCCTCCTCCTCCCCTCCTCCTCCTCCTCCTCTTACTCCTTCCCCTCCTCCTCCTCCTCTTCCTCCTCTTCCTCCCTCTCCTCCTCCTCCTCCTCCTCCTCATCCTCCTCCTCCTCCCTCCTCCTTCTCCTTCTCCTCCTCCTCCTCCACCTCCTCCTCATCCTCCTTTTTCTCCTTCCTGTCCTCCTCCCCCTCCTCCTCCCCCTCCTCTTCGACTGGCGGTGGGCGTTTGAAAGATGGCCTGAAATGCGACGGCGGGAGGCTTCTCGCCATGATTCGGCCACTGGGAGTCCTCGCCAGGCCCCGTGACCATCGAAAAACGAGTCAGGATGAGAAGCCAGTCCTGGGGCATGGGTCGAGACCTTTGGGGTCGACGCTAGGACAGAATCATGACGTCGGGGTTCTGGGTACGTTCCTGGATAATTCTTGTTCCAGCCTCGCCTGGAGTGATGTGGCCCGCGCCAGCCTCGAGGAGCGAATGTTTTAGCCATGCCACGTCTGCGATGTGCGTGACTGCTTCGCGGTTGCGTACCAGAGATGCGGGCGTGCCCTCCCTATGGTTGGCGTTGGAAAGATAGCGTGCGATGCGGCGCCGCGAAACCCGCGTCGAATCCTCGTCGAATCTTGGAGCCGTCTGGGGTCTGAGGTGGCCCAGCACTGGTTCTGGCCAGTAAAAAGGGCGGGCAGGTTCGAGGTTCTGGGTTCGGTTAGGTTTTTTCCCTTATTCTGTCTCTGGGGGCCGTTTTCGGGCCCCGGGATTGTGAAAGACGGATCTGGTGTGAAAAGCTGCACCAGATGGACCCCGCCGATTTTGAGCGGATTTGGTTTCATCCCCCCTTCCTGGCAGATTTCCTGGGGTCCCAACCAGTTCAAACCCCCTGGCCGCCTCCAAGTCGAATCCGTTCTGCCAATGGTTCGGGACGCGAGGCGTGGAAAGGCTTGGAGGGTAAGAGCCACACCAGTCGAGGGAGAAGCACCGGCATGAGCATGAACTCCCGGAGGTCTGCGCGGATTTCTTGCGCGCCAGGGAGGGGGGCCAGGTCCAAAAGATCCGCACAGACCTCCGAAATATTGTGCTTGCGGTTGGCGCAAAGTCGGGCATGCCCCTCTACAGGAGGCATATTCTTCAAACATAAGAACAAACAAATGTCTTGGGACGATTGTTTTATCATTTATCGATTTTCTTTGGGCATTGTTTTAAAGTGTTGCTTGTTTTTCGTCCACAATCCTCAGGGGCAACGATAGGGGGGATAGGCATAGGGGGGGATGCATCGACCCCCAATCGCCCATTGATCGCCGATAGGGGCCCGGTAGCCCCAACCCGCCAAAGGAAGGTGCGGACTCACTATCAGAGGCCTGTCGCCGATCTATCGGCGATGCATCGCCGATTCTAGGTCGATGCCACCCCCTATGCCAGTCCCCCCGATCGTTGCCCCCAAAATCCGCCTGTAGGATTATGATGTTCCAACCTACTTTAGCCTTGAACACCAGAAAGAATGTCGAGCCCCCCAAAGGTACCAAAATCCGGGGGCTCGACACTCTTTCGACACTGCTTCGACACCCTTTCGACACTCTTTCGACACTTCTCTGGGTGCTCGAAATGATTCCTGGGATGTGCTCCTTAAGTACGATGGGAACAACCGACTTGTAGGAGGGAGGACATGCCCGACCCGAGGCTGGCGTCGGCAAGACAGCAATCGCTGCGGCGACGCCAGCCCCGCTTATGGCACGCTGCCTCCACCGCTGGGGACAGGGCCCCCCCGGCGGGGGCACGGCGTGCGCCGAGGAGGCGATCCCCCGCGGTGGGGGGGGGATCGCCTCACAGGCTGGAGGAGGAGGAAGGAGGAGGGGGAGGAGGAGGAGGAGGAGGAGGAGGAGGGGGAGGAGGAGGAGGTGGAGGAGGAGGAGGAGGGAGGAGGGGAGGAGAAGGAGGAGGAGGGGGAGGAGGAGGAGGAGGAGGAGGAGGAGGAGGAGGAGGAGGAGGAGGGGGAGGAGGAGGAGGAGAGAGAAGGAGGAGGAGGGAGGACGGAGGAGGAGGGAGGAGGAGGAGAAGGAGGAGGATGAGGATGAGGATGAGGATGATGAGGATGAGGATGATGAGATGATGATGATGATGATGATGATGATGATGATGATGATGATGATGATGATGATGATGATGATGATGATGATGATGATGATGATGATGATGATGATGATGATGATGATGATGAGGAGGAGGAGGAGGAGGAGGAGGAGGAGGAGGAGGAGGATGACCCCCTCCCCCTCCAACTTCTGGCGGTGGTGGAAAACGGCTCACAGGGACGGCGTGCTTTCCTCGCGCGATCGCAAACATGGGTCAAGGGGGCGGGGGTTGGCGACGGGTCCCGTTCCCCCAGGGGAACCGCGGAGTCCCGCCGCCGAGCGAGGCGGCCCCGGCCGCATTTTGGGGAGGGCACCTCTTTCTTCTTCTTCTCCTCCTCCTCCTTCTGCTGCAACGTGGCCTGACCTCCTCCTCCTCTTCCTCCTCCTCCTCCTCCTCCTGCTCCTGCACCTCCGCTCGTGCGCGCAGCGCGATGCGCGCGCGCGATTCCCGGACATCGGTGCGGCACGCCATCTCTCCAGCGCCAGCCGCAAGCACATCGGGGCCCTTGCCCTCGCCGCTCGCCTCCTCGCCCGCCTCGCCCGCCCCTCTGCCAGCATGGTGCGCAAGAGGGGCCGTTCCCGCGGAGCGGCAGGCCGCCTGCCTCCGGCGAGGGCGGAAAAGCCCGTGGCGGCCTCGGGGCTCGAGAGGCGGGGGTCAACTGCAAGCGGGGGGTCGGCCAGAGCGCCGGGTTTTGCAGGATCCTGCAGGGCCAGGGTCGCACGGACCCGGGCGTTGGGTGCAGGATCCTGCAGGATCCTGCAGGATCCTTTGCCCTGACCCGGGTTCGGGTGCAGGATCCTGCAGGATCTCGCAGGGTTCTGCAAGGCCTGACTGACCCGGGTCTGGATTGCCCCGGGTCGGGAGATGCCCGAGCGACGAGGAAGCCCCACGGGGCGCCCGAAGGAACATGCTATGGGCTTTTGCTCGGCCCCATTCCCCAACGCCTCCCCCCCCCCAAAGAAAACACTGGCCGCTCTGAAAGTTCCCCCCTCAGATCGCCTTGACAGCGGCGAAGGCGAAGATGCGCGTCGAGGAGCAGGACGTCGGGCACATGGGGACAGGGGTGAGAGCACGGCCATGTGGACCTGCGCGTATTTTTTGCGAGGGATCACGGCCGACTGGACCAGCCTTGCGGCGAGGCAAGGGCGCGTTTCCTGACTCACTTGTGAGGGCGAAGCGGCTGCCCGACCTCGCGGTCCAGGGCTCCCCGCCCCCCGCGTGTGACCTCTTTTTGGTTCTCTGCCCGTGCTGTTGACCGGCCTTTGGGTGCGACAGGGAGGAGTTTTCTAAAAGGGCAACGAATGGAGGAGGGAGGAGGGAAGAGAGGAGTGGGCGGTCTAGGGCTGCCCGCCCCCCCTGTGCGTGACCTTTCCTTTTCCCCCTTTTCGTTGACCGGCCTCTGGGGTGCGACAGGGAGGAGTTTCTTTATATATAAGGGAAACACATGGAGGAGGGAGGAGGGAAGAGAGGAGTGGGAGGAGGGAGGAGAGTATTTTTTATCAGGGAAACAAATGGAGGAGGGAGGAGGGGCGAGAGAAGAGGGAGGAGAAGGAAGACGAGGGAGGAGGAGGAGAACCAGAGGGAGGCGGGCGGACAGGGAGCCCCCTTTGTCCGCTTCCCACAGCCCTGCCGCGGTGGGGGTGGCAGTGGGGCGGCGCAGGGCATGCCGGTGCAGCCGGTGCAGCAGAGCGGCTACAGGGTCCCCCTCATGGACCCGAAGGACAGCCTGCCCCTCCTCCTCCTCCACCTCCTTCTCCTCCTCCTCCTCCTCCTCCTCCTCCTCCTCCTCCGCTTCCCCCTCCTCTTCCTCCACCTCCACCTCCTTCTCCTCCTCCTCCTCCTCCTCCTCCTCCTCCTCCTCCCCCTCCTCCTCCTCCTCCTCCTCCTCCTCCTTCTCCTCCTCCCTTTCGCCAGGCGAGGATTCAGGATCGAGTGTTGAGGTTCGGCTTCTGTGCGGCGTTCTCGGGCTTCATGTGGGATTCCCTTGGCCACGGCCGAGTGCCCTTGGAAGCTCTGGTCAGACGTATCCCTGGAGTGGTCAGGGGGTCGGTCTTTGATGCGGGAGAAGGAGGACCAGGAGGATGCGAGGAGGAGCAGGAGGAGGACGAGGAGGACAAGGAGGAGGAGGACTAGGAGGAGGAGGAGGAGGACCAGAGCAAACCCATGATGCATCAACGACGCTGCTATCTATCTACACATATATATATAAAGTATGTGTGCAGCGACATATGCACTTGTAGGTCGAATCCATGTGTAATATCTATGTATACATATACATACACATTTACACACGCACATATATATATATATATAGATGAAACACACATATATGCTCCATCATGTCCTCCAGGCTTCGCTCTTTGCTGTCTCTGCAGCTTCTCGGCCCAAAGCTCCCCGCGGCCTGCCCTGG